ATTCACATGGTACTGCATCACATTCACATGGTACTGCATCACATTTAGATAGTACTGCATCACATTCACATGGTACTGCATCACATTTAGATGGTACTGCATCACATTCACATGGTACTGCATCACCTTCACATGGTACTGCATCACATTGAACAGATATTGCATCACATTAAGACGGCATTGCATCACCTTCACATGGTACTGCATCACCTTCACATGGTACTGCATTACATTTAGATGGTACTGCATCACATTCACATGGTACTGCATCACATTTAGATGGTACTGCATCACATTCACATGGCACTGCATCACATTTAGATGGTACTGCATCACCTTCACATGGTACTGCATTACATTTAGATGGTACTGCATTGCATTTAGATGGTACTGCATCACATTTAGATGGTACTGCATCACATTCACATGGCACTGCATCACATTTAGATGGTACTGCATTGCATTTAGATGGTACTGCATCACATTCACATGGTACTGCATTACATTTAGATGGTACTGCATCACATTCACATGGTACTGCATCACATTTAGATGGTACTGCATTGCATTTAGATTGTCTCTTCTAGCAAACTGCTAAACCATACCCCAGTATACATTTTGTATTGGCATCAAATATTTAATGGTATCTGGTTGTCATGGTGAGATGCGGTAATTCAAGGTTTGTTAATGGATTTATTGTAGTCATGAGAACAAGTTGATTTAGTTTAGAGGTGTTAGTTATTAAGTCACCTAGATGGGTTTTTATTGGATAACAATGTATTTTTACTATTATCTAAATTAATATCTAACTTTGGATGATTTGATGTGTGGTTATTAAAATGATTAGGGTAATCCTGAATTAGGGTTAAACTAATCCAAAATAAAACATGGATCATCAACACTGCAATGAATATTTGACTGTCGTTTGTGTAAAACAGTCATGCACAGGTAGATACATGCCAACTCTTTTGAAACTATATTTATAATTATTCCTTAAATAATTTTATGCACATATCATCTACTCTTTGCTCTAATTCTCCCCTTGTATTGCCTTATCCTAAATTATGCTTGTGTTATATTAGAAAAAGATAATGTGATGTGATGAGGCTACTTACTCCCTTATTATTTATAATCCAGATTTCATCTATGATTCCTTGATTCATGAATTATTTGAACCCTAATTGAAGACCAAAGACAAGCCTTGCTTTCAGTTCTCTAACAGCATGACCAGTAACCCAGTGCTTAAAAATAAGTCGCCAAACAGTTCCAGTACGATGTATAGGTTTCACACCATAATTATAATTTGTATTATGACACCTACACATTTAATTTAATTTGAGAATGACATTTGCATACTTTTAATTAAAAAAATTGTCATTTGATATAATATCTGAAGTGTTTGTGGATACAATTTTAGCAAAAACCAACTGGTTTTGAAATGGCGGACTGATACATTGAGAGCAATTCATCAGTCGAGTCAACTTTTCTAATACTGTATAGCCGGCTTCATTTTTGAGACTTAAAACTGTGATGATGCCTTTTAGTATTTTCATTTTAAAAACTGAATATTCATTCTCTTTTTTTGTTCACTTGACTCCTTGGATTCTGAAAACCATTTGGACGGTCACTCAGCAAGATGGTGTGCAACTTAGCAAAAGTTTTTTTACCCAAACTTGACTTGGCAGTCCCATTATCATTTTAGTCAAGTGGGAAAGCACAGTTACAGTACACAAACAGGTTAATATTTGATGTAAATATTTCTCAAATCACATACAATATAGATAAACAAGAAATAATTATCAAATACATACACTAGACCACAGCACAATATCAGTCAAATAGAACTGCCAAGAAATAAAATAAACACCAAATGTTTCACAAAGCTACTCGCCTGGAATCCAGCAATTCCACCGAGGACTCTCAAAAATGAATCGTTATGTAATTTATTTAGTCAACACAAAATTCTGTGTCATGGAAACTTGTGCACAGGCCAACTCTGACACAAGGCCCGCCCGCCCACAACACTCCAGACCAATTCACTAGTTTATTATTCATAAACTTTTTAAAATCATACGATGATAGGGGGTATAACTGGCCGATTTATTCACAACATTGTAATATGAGCCTTTGTTGCATACAGAGACAGATATCAAATATGACATTGTGAAATATTAGTGGAGTTAATCAGAGGTCACATACCTCTCAAAAACAGCACCAAATTATTGTTATCGTTTTTTTACAACCTGGTTGTACACTATGCTATTTGTTTTGACACATGTATGAATCCAGAAAACTGAATTTTACTTTCATACATAGCTTGGTGTTAATCAGTGAAGTGTCAATGCTAATCACGAACTAACTGTCTTTTCTACTGACAAGCTGTTTGCTCTAAAAAAAGTGGAACCACAGTAACTTGATAATTCTGGTATGAGGTGGGACCATTTGAATAAAAAATTCCATCAACATGGAAACTTTCTATCAGTGCGACTTTTTTATCCATAGTTTTTTGGTTGACCTGTGTACTGGGATGCCCAATGGATTACTGGGCTGCTTTCATGTTCTCAACATCATTCCTATATGCTAAGATCATTTCATAAATTGTGACAATGTATGATAATTAATTTCTCTCAACAGCACAGTTCATGCCTCAATATACAATATTAGGACTTGATGTGTATTCACAACAGCTGTTATCAAAATATTTTCTTTTAATCGTATTCAACATTTTTTTTATATGGAGTCATTGGTATTTATCATTTTTAGAATAAAAATGTATGTGATAGCAAAATCCATTTATATTATCACATAAAATTAGTCAACGAAAATGGGATTAATTGGGTCAATACATATAGACTAGGCCAAATAAAATTAATGAACCTATAATTTATTGTCTCCTTTGTACTTTTGATCAAACATGAACATTTTTTATCTTCATATGAAGCAGTTTCTGTTGTCCAGAATTTTGGCCAATTTGTGATTTTTATGGTACAAGGGGGAACTAATAAGCAAGCCAGATCAGCAAAAAATGATTTCATGATGGAAAAAATAAATAAATCTTTCTGTTAATTTATCAGAACCACACAATTCTTTTGTCATTATCCCATGAAAAAATTGGAAATGTCAAAAATAAAAATTTCTGCCCAACATCTTCACAGAAAGCCTGCATGAACTCAATTCAATAAGTGTGTTTCTGAATACACATATGTAATATTGTTCAAGATGGCGATGGTAATCACTCTAAGAAAACACTAGAAAAAACACCGACTCTAGGAATACACCTAAAGAACAAAGTCTCAAGTGGTTCTGCATATCGTATGTTCATCACATATCACTACACACAAATAAATCACCACATAATTTAACAAATTAATACTTTAATTAAAAAAATACACAAATTAAATACAATTATTTTGAAAGTTATTTACAATTAAT